GCACTTTGCTCCCCAAGGGGGTTTTTGGTGAGTCCTTCTGACGTCTGTGTGGCTGCAAAGAGCATCTCCTGCTCCTCACCGCGGAACGAGCCGCTCCAGGATATTTATGTTCCCGGGTTTTGGTGGGAAATTGGGACCTAAAGCCTGGGAGCTTTCTTGGATCTTCCCCAACCTGCTCAGGGGGAGGCGAAGAGGTAAAATAACATGTGCTGGAGCTGCTTCAGGGCTACAGAGACCCTTAGAGGGGCACCCTGGGGGGGGTCTCCTGACTCAGGTGTCGCCAGGACCTGGCCAAGCCCTTGTTCCCATGGGGAAATTGGAGATTTTCTGGAAGAAGAGGTGACCTCCACAGAATCATTTAGGTTGGAAAAGCCCCCTAAGACCCTCTAAGTCACCATATCACAGAATATTCGGAGGTGGGAGGGACCCCCGAGGATCAAGAACTCTTTAAGTCCTGTCTAAGTCCAAGCCAGCACTGCCAAGCCCACCCTAAACCACGTCCCCAAGTGCCACATCTGGGTATTTGGGGGATGTAGTTTTGCTCCTATTTTGAGGATATTCGGTTTCTCCATTATTTGAGTCACTGTGGAGGGACCACTTGGCTCAAAGCATTTGATAAATGGGGGGAAAAAAAAGTGGAAAACCCTCAAAACTTGAGGTGCAGGAGGAGAATTTCAGGGATTTTCTGTGTCCTGGGTTGGCTGAGGAGAGCAGAGCTTTCCCAGCAAAGCTCCTTCAGTTCTCCCCTCAGCCCAGTTTCTCTCCTTTCATTATGAAGCATCATAAATCTGGGAGTCTTTTGTTTCTCTTTGAAGAAAAGGTGATTTGAAGCTCCTTCCTCTTTGATGTGGTTGGAATTTAAGGCCCTCTGAGCTCTCCTGTCTTGGATTAAATCCCTGCTCTTGCCTTTGGAGCCAGCCTTGCTGAGCTGAGCTCATTAATCAGGCTGAGAACCCTCTGAAGGTCTCAGGTCCTGCCCAATTCTGAGCAAGATCAGAATATTTTCCAAGTTTTACTGTAACCACCCCAAAAGGAGGCTGGAATTCCGACCTCTGGATGATAAATGGGCGCAGAAAGTCCTTGTTGGAGTCACCCTTGAGGAGCCTCGGACCACAAACCTCCAGATAAATTGGGTTTATTTATGGGAATGTTCCTGTATCTCCAAACCACCGAGGATTAGACTCTTATCAAACAATCTCCCTCCCCTTTTCCAACATTTTTCCCCCCTACTTCTTCCCTTGAATTATTATTCCCCTTTTTATTACAAGTTTTCAGGGGAAGATCCTCATCTTGAGGTCTCTCTCTGTGCTAAAAGTTGTGGCCACTCCCACATAAATCTTTATTATCCCCCGTTTTACCTCGGGGACAATGAGCTTTGCAAGGGTGTGCAGCTCCTTGCTGGGAGGGTCGATGTGCTTTTGTGGTTCCCAAAGCAGGAGCAACAGCAAAGGCAGGGATTGAGATCAGCAGAGCTGCTCATCCTGAGGGAGGGACCAGGAGAGGCCAAAGCAGAGGATTTATGTCTTAGAAGATACTAAAAATTGGGTTTATGGGCCCAGTTCAACTTGGAGAGGATGAAAACTTGGTGCCAGCGTGGAGGGATCACCGCCAGCCCTGCTTTTTTGGATAAAACACGAGCCCAGAGCAGCCTGTGACCATCATTTACTGTTAATTCTGCCATTTGCCTCACTAAAACCCTTGGCTAGGATTTGAGTTTGGCTTGAACCCTCTCTCAAGTGATGCCTTAAACCAGAGCCAAGCCCCTTCCCACGCTTAAACCAGTCCTGGTGGTCTCCAGCCTCACATCCCAGGGCTGCAGAGGGCAGGAGTTCAGCAGAGTGAGAAAAACCTCTAAATATTGGTTTTTTAAGTGCCAGGAATTGCAATGTTTCATTACCAGGGTGATGGTGCAAATAATGTGGGTTCACCTGTTGTCACCTCCTGGGTGTGGCTGCCTGTGAGCAAGTGGAAATGGAAAAAAATTGGCCTCAAAAATTAATATGACTTGAGAGAGGGTTCAAGCCAAACTCAAATCCTGAGGAGCTGGGGTGGTTCTGCCTGACCTAACTAAGCCGTGTGCCAGCACAGCTGAGCTCAGCCAGGGGTTTTAGTGAGGCAAATGGCAGAATTAACAGTAAATGATGGTCACAGGCTGCTCTGGGCTCGTGTTTTATCCAAAAAAGCAGGGCTGGCGGTGATCCCTCCATGCTGGCATCAAGTTTTCATCCTCTCAGAGTAACCTGGGCTGCTCAGGTGCCATAAAATCGACTGTGCTTCTCTTAAAAGCAAATCCAACCAGGTTTGGTGCCAGTCACTCCCTCGGTTCTCCTTCTCTGATCATTTTTAGTGGTTTGCTGCTACAAGGGGAAGAGCAAAGTCTGATTTGAACTTCAAAGAGCTGCCAGAGCTTCAGTTCTTGCCCAAACTCAAAGTAAAGCTCAGAGAGGTGAGATGCTGTGCTTATAAAACTTCCTCCCTTCTTCTGAGGAGGATTAAAGGCAGCTCCCCCAGTGGGGCTCCTTCCAGGAGGATATTAGAGCTGGAAAAAAAATCCTCATTTCTCAGATAGTGGAGGCAGTTTTGAACACTCAGAGCTGCTCAGGTGGGACCTGGGAGGCTCTTTCCATGTTCTCCCTTTGGTTTTTCCACCTGTTATTCCTCTCTGAGCTGCAGGAACCCACATGAAAGTAAAACCCAGCTGAAGGCTGGCCCACCTTATTAGAAATAAGCGTGGGCACAACAGGAGTTTGGGCTAAACCTCTTTTTGCAGAGGAGAAAACACCCCAGTGAGGCTTCCTGGCAATTTGTTTGAAGGATTTTATGCCAAGTTTTGCTCAACTAAAAAAGAAAATGGAAACAAAACTTTGCAGCATTGGGGTATCAAGCCCACCAATATCCCTTTGGGTGTTTTCTCCCCTCTTTCCAGGCATATTTTGGGAGCTGCTCTCCCTCACTGACACAGGTGGGATTAAAAACAACAGAGGAATTAGAGGTAGGAAGTCAGAAATTAGTTGCAAATCTGTGTTTTGGCTGCTCCTGGCCGTGTTTGCCCATTTTGGGGTGGGAGAACCCCCAGAGCTGTGGCTTCTCCTACTCCCTTTGGCCAAGAATTACCCCTGGGGGGAGCAGATACTCAGAGGGTTCAGCCTCTGCAAAAACTGCTCCTTGAAGAGGTTGATGCTTAAAAATGGAGAAAACCTGGGTTTTTTTCTCTCTTACCAAACACCCCCTTCCCTCTCCTGCCTCTCCAGGCTTTTCTTTCTGGGGGAAAAATGTGAAGATTCAAATTTGTTTGCCACAAGAAGGGATGATTTGCTTTGTAACAAACCCATTTTTATTCTGTGGAGAACAGAGAATGACTTTCATTAAACTTTTTTTTTTTTTTTTGCCTTCATTGTGGGAAGAGAAGAAAAAAGCAGCTTTTTTTTCCCTTTGTAGCTGCAGCATTTGATCTCTAATTTAACTTGACAGGAGGAGAAATCCCTGTTAGACTTTGGAACCTTATTAGCATTGAATGGCACCAACTGAGCTGCCTTCAAGAGCCAAGAAATCTGCTCATTCAGGGGCTGGAAGAGCCATCTCCCCTCGGGAAAAGGCTGGATTAGTCACCTGGAATTAAATCAGTCAGGCTTGAATGAGCCTGAGCTTTGCTGGGCTCCAAGCAAAGCTGAGTCCAACACTGGGATCCACCTGGAACTGCCCCAGCCTCTAAACCAGGGCTGAGCAGGGCTTAACACCCACTGCTGGTTTTACAGAGAGTCTTCAGCTTCCCCTTCAGGGTCCTGAGAGCAGGAAATCACTGGGGCTGTCAAAGCTGGGGATGGAGACTGTAGGGAAAGGCTGGGGGGGGATATGTTGGAGTTATGGAATGGGTTGGGTTGAAAGATCAGCCCATTCCACCCCCTGCCACGGGCAGGGACACCTTCCACAGACCACCTTGCTCCAACCCAGCCTTGGACGCTTCCAGGGATCCAGGGGCAGCCACAGCTTCTCTGGGAATTCCAGCCCAGCCCCTCCCCACCCTCCCAGCCAACAATTCCTCCCCAATATCCCATCTAGCCCTGCCCTCTTTCAGGTTAAATCCACTCCCCCTTGACCTGGCAGGACATGGCCCTGGAAATGCTGGTCCAACTGCCCCTCTCACCCTCTCCTTTTCCTCTCTGTGCAGTTTTCCTGCTGTGGTGGGGATGAATATCGAGACTGGGGGGTCAACCAGTACCACTCCTGCAACAGCAGTGGGCCCCTGGCCTGTGGGGTGCCCTACACGTGCTGCATCAGGAAGGTAAGGCAGACAAGGCACAGAAAATGCCTTTATTTCACTCAATATTCCATAAAAAAATGGAATATTTTTTATCACTGGTTATCACTGCATATTTCTGCACTGAAGGATTTCTTCTAACCTGCATTTCCAGCTTGACACAACATCAGTGTGAGATGATAAAGAACTAGAAAATATATATATTTATGGACTATTTTTGTTGTATTTTACTCTGCTGTTTTAATGTAGAGCAAAGTCCTAGCCTGTTTCTGTTTGTATCATCCAAGGAGTTGTTAGAAATGCCAAAGTTTTCAACTCTGTGATATAAAATGGTTTGGAGGATTGTTTTTGAAACAATAGCAGCAGCATAGGACTTGGGGGTTACTCTGCCTGGAGAAGGTTCCAGGGAGACCTGAGAGCCCCTTCCAGGGCCTAAAGGGGCTCCAAGAGCTGGAGAGGGACTGGGGACAAGGGATGGAGGGACAGGACACAGGGAATGGCTTCCCACTGGAAAAGTGGGGATTTAGATGGATATGGGGAAGGAATTGTTGGCTGTGAGGGTGTTGAGGGGCTGGGCTGGAATTCCCAGAGAAGCTGTGGCTGCCCCTGGATCCCTGGGAGTGTCCAAGGCCAGGTTGGAACCTGATCCAGTGGAAGGTGTCCCTGCCCAGGGCAGGGGTGGCACTGGATGAGCTTTAAGTTCCCTTCCCACCCAAAGGATTCCATGATTCTGTGTGGTGCTTTAGATGGAATATTGGGAAGAAACTGTTCTGTGGGAGGGTGGGGAGGCCCTGGCACAGGTTACCCAGAGAAGCTGTGGCTGCCCCATCCCTGGAAGTGTCCAAGGCCAGGTTGGGTGATGCTTGGAGCAACCTGGGCTGGTGGAAGGTGTCCCTGCCCATGGCAAGGGGTGGGACTGGATGAGCTTTAAGGTCCTTCCAACCCAAACCATTCCATGACTCCATGACTTGGCTGCATCCCAGCATGGATCTGGATGCACTCTGGTCCTCTCCTGTCCAATACATTCTCAGCCACTGAGGGGTTTAGGAGCGTGTTGGGGGTGTTGATCTGCTCCGGGGGAGGAGATTTTTGAGGATTTTCCTGGAAATGGGGCTGTGTTTGCACAAAGAGCTACCTTTGTGCAGTGGAATGAGAGAAATCCCACCAGCAACTGCCCCTGGAAGGTGGCATTTCCACCCTATTGGGTTGGCTGGGGCTGGACTCCAGAGGGGAGTGGATTTGCAGAGCCAGGAGGTTCTCCTGAGCTGATTCACAAACCTGGGAATCAAGACACCCCCCTCCAAGCAGAGCTTTTCTGCTGAACCTGTGTCAGTGCTGAGCCTGTGTCAGTGCTGACACAGACCATTTAAGCCAACCCTGCTCCTCGTTGTCATCAATCCAGCACATGTGGAGATAAAATCCCAGGAGCTGGGCCAAAAACAAGCACAAATATCCCTGGTTGCTGTACCAGCAGTGCTATAAACTTCCCAACAAGGATTTGCTGAGCTTAATCCTGGTAGCAAAACCTCCTGGAGGTTCAGAGCACTGGGAGGATCAGCACTGGCTCTCAGCCTTGGCTGTGCCCCAAGGATTTAATAAGGAGAATTTATCATCAACCTTGTATTGTTGTGGGGTTTTTAGTGGGGAAGAGGGTGAAATGTGAAGTGGTTTAATTATCACTGGAAGTCTGACATGCAAATCAGCTGCAAAAATAATTGTCAGCTCTAATCAGGGCGTTGATTAAGAATCCTAGAGCTCCTGGAGGTGGAATTAGAAATTCATGGGTTGTCCTTTTGTGGTACAAGTGGGGATGTGTTGAAGAAATCCAAGTGGATTGTGGGGTATTTTTACACTCCCCATGGTTTTGGGTGAGAGTTTGGCCAAGAAAAGACCTTGGCAGAGCAGAGAGGGAAAAATCCCAGGTGATTAATACAGAGGGGAAGGAATAATCCTGTGTCTTAGTTTAACAAGATTACAACTTAGGAATTAAGAAACTTCAGGTGGAAGTGTGGAAAAGGAAAAGAGACAGCTTTTTATTAACAAAATCTGAATAAACAACAAATGGTGCGATCAAAAACTTTCAGAAGAAACAAAACAAAGTCCCAATTCCCCAGGTGGGGGGAGAAACCCGGGGCTGGGGGGGAGGCAGGACTGTCCTGGCAGTTCAACAGCTGCTCTCAGCCCCCTGTGCCTGCAGCCAGCAATGAAGGAATCCCTGTGCTGGTTTAAAGGTAAACCAGCAGGGGAAATGAACTCAACTCAAAGGAGGGATTAGAAGTCAGAATAACAATTTAATAAAATAATACAATAAATATGATTATACAGACAAACAGTTGGGTTTAACCCCCAAAACCCAAATGTATAACCCAGCACCCTGGGGCATGAACAGAGTGGTGTTTGTTGGGCCCCCTGAGTCCAAAGGAAAAGGAGAGGGGAAAAACCTGTTGGTGAGAGTGCTGAGTGCAGTCTGGGCAAGAGTGGTGGTCTGGAGTCTTCCTCTGGATCCCAGGAGTGGTTAAAAAAGTCCCAAGACCCCAAGATTATATATATCCTCCAGTTCAGGCAGGAATGCCCAGCACCTCCCTCAGGGTGGGGAGTTCCATAATGGGTGTGAGCACAGGAGCACCCTCCTATCTCCCAGTTCCACACTGGTGTGAGCACAGGAGCACCCTCCTGTCTCCCAGTTCCACACTGGTGTGAGCACAGGAGCACCCTCCTATCTCCCAGTTCCACACTGGGTGTGAGCACAGGAGCACCCTCCTGTCTCCCAGTTCCACACTGGTGTGAGCACAGGAGCACCCTCCTGTCTCCCAGGCCTCTGAACACCCAGTTTGCAGCCTGAGGGGTCAGGGCTGCTCTGGGCAGAGGGTGGAAATGGTTCATTGAGAACAGTTTCTGGGCAATGGCATGGAAGGCTCTGGAATACCCAGTTTTGGGTTACACCCACCCAGTGCTGAACTGGTCCCAGCTGTTCTAACCAGGACAATCCCTTTTTCCCCCAGGCAGTGCGAAGGCAGAACACCTCGCTCTGACCTGGGTCTGTCTCTCTCTCTTGGTCTTCTCCACGAGGTGTCCCATGGGGAAAAAAGACTTTCTCTCAGAAAAAGAGAAAGAGGCGGCCAAAAATGGGGCTCCTGCTCTGTCTGGTCCTGGGCCAAACCCAAAAGCCCCCAACCCAAGGACTCCCCGCTGTCCCTGCGGCCACCGCGCTGTCCCCGAGCCCACCCCCTCCCTGACCCCCCATCCCAGAACAAACAGATGGGGGGATGGGGACCCTAGGGAAGAAGAAGACAATTCCAACGTCTCTTTTCAAACCTCTGACATCATGGAATGGCTGGGGTTGGAAGGGAATTTAAAGCCCATCCAGTGCCACCCCCTGCCATGGGCAGGGACACCTTCCCCTATCCCAGGTTGCTCCAACCTGGCCTTGGACACTTCCAGGGATCCAGGGGAAGCCACAGCTCCTCTGGGAATTCCATCCCACCCCTTCACCATCCTCCCAGGGACGAATTCCTTCCCAACATCCCATCCAACCCCACCCTCTGGCAGTGGGAAGTCTCCTTTTGGCTGCAGCTCTTGAAACATTTCATTTGGCCACCAAAGGTCTCAGCCCTGGGGATGTCTGAAAACCTTATTTTTCTCTACAAAGTGATGGAAGACTTTGGGGAAATTCCCAAAGTCTTGATTTCTGGAGAGCCCAGTACCTTCAATCCCTGTGAAATTCCATTTTTTCTGAAGGAGACACACGACTGGAGGTGAAAGTCCAGGGAATGCTGGGAAAGAGCTGCTTTACAGGAGCCCCCAGGATGTGGAGATGGTCATGGTTTAAATCACTGGGAGAGGGTTTGGGGGCCTGAACATCCTCCAGAACAGCAGAAAACAGAGAGAAAAGGGGTTGAAAAAATATAATTAAAATACCCCAACAACTTTCTGCCAAAATTTCCAGTTCAAGCATCACCTTTGGGCAAAAAAAGGGTCCTGAGGTGACAACGTGAGGTGTGAGGGTTGGAGGCTGCTCGACTTTTGCTGCTCTGAATAATCCCAGATGGGGCAGCTCTTCTATTTCTTGGGTTTAATTCTTGTTTCTTGTACTTCTTTGTATACTTTTGTTGCTCTGGGATGAGTTTGTTCAACTTTCTCTCTCCACAGGCCCCTGGAGAGGTCGTGAACACCCTCTGTGGGTACAGGACACTGGACAAAGAGGTGACTTTTTGGACTCTCTAAGAGATTTGCTGCTTCCTCTTCCCCAGATCCCCTAAAAAAAATCCAGTTGGAACAGTCTGGAGGTACCAGCTGAGTATAAATTCCATTGTATTGCTTTTCCCTGGAATTTTGGGGTGTTTCTCAGGCTCACAGAGCGTGTGAGTTTGGGTATTCCCGGGGACATTCCTGAACCATGACATCCCTGTGGGGTTTGCTGGGCCTTTTCTGGACCAGGACCTGGAGATGCCGGTAATGAGCTGTGTTTGGAGGTTTGGTGGTGGGAGAGAAGCTGATTTGGATGCCTCTGGGGGTGACCAGGATGGTTTTCTCCCCCTTTCTCCAGCGCTTGGAGCTGCTCAGCATCATCCATGTCCGGGGTTGTATCCACGCCGTGGGGCTCTGGCTCAAGGACAACTTCGAGGCCACTTTGGGCATTGTTTGCTCCCTGCTGCTCCCACAGGTACGTGGTGGATTCCATCACAACTCTCCTGGCTTTTTTCACTCTGCTGGAGGAGGAAAATAATTCACTTTTAGTTATTTTTCCCCTCCATTTATATCCAGAATTGTGAGCTGGGTAGGAAAATTGTCACAGAGCGTCCTTGGGCAAATGAAGAGTTTATGACTGTGGTGGGTGACTCAGAACACTCCTGAAATCTAATTATTGATCAAATCACAGCCTCTGAAAGCAAATCAAGCCTATGTGAGCAGAGCAAATCCCCCTCTATTTGTTTTCACGGCTCTGCTCAAACAGAGCAGAAATATTAACCAAAATAAAGTACAATGGTAAATTTAGTTGTGTTTGCCTCAGGAAATCCATTAACGATGTCTGAGGATCCAACTGACTTTCCAGGTAATGAAGCTTTTCATCACAGATAATTAACATGGAGAGAAATTCGGGGTTGTGGTTGGGACTCTTTTTGCAGCACTGTCACAACTGTGCTGGCCAGGAGGGGAATCTCTCTCTCAGATCTTCCCAGAATTGTTTTGGTGATGACTTAGTGCTGATTTGATCCTTTTTCTGATTCGTGTCAAGGCTCACAAGCAAAATCTTTCTTTTTGTTGGATTAATGTTGGGTTCGCTGCTGGAGGGGTTTGCTGATGCTCTCCAGATATGGGGTTTTATTTAAATGGGAATGAAATGATTTCCTGTTTTGCTGTGTTTCTGCTCGAAACAAAAGGTAGAAAGTGGTTGGAAAAAGCAGAAGCTGTTGGGGAAATACGTTAATTTTTCAAAGGATGGATTTTGCTCTCGAGCTCTCAGATGGTCCAGATGAGAAACTGAGGTGGGGGAGTAGTTTGTGCTCAATCCTGGCTGTGATTCCCGACTTTTCTAAAGTGATTCCATTAAAAATATGCAAATGAGCCCTGGAATTCTGCTGTGCTGCCACCAGGAAACACAACAGGCACAGGAATGGGGTGAAAAGTGCCACAGTCGAGGCAGGACATCGAGAGCCCATTAGAGGAGCCACCTGTTGGGTTCTCCATTAACCTGCCAACGGGAAGCTCTTAATTGGGAAGGATGGGGAGCAAAAGCAGGGCTGGCAACGAGGATTTCTGAGCCCTGATGAATCTCAAGTGCTGTTGAGGCAGCTCTGTGATTTCTCTGTCGTGCCATTAAAGGCTCTTCATATGCAGAACCTCGTTCATCCCATCTGCTCACGAGTTTTAAATATAAATCATATTTGATTCTGTCAAGTTTTGGAGGGGATGAAGTTCCATCTGTGTTGCCAGGAGCTGTCAGCCCAGGAACAGCTTCATCCCCAGCAGCTGCCAGGAGGAAGTGGAGTGAGAGTGTTGTCCCTGAATTGCTGATCCAAGGGGGAAAAGCGTTGGCGCCGTTGATGTGAGGAGGTGACAGTGCCCTGAAATTTGGGAAGAGGGAATGTGTTGACACGTCCCATCTCTGCCTTTTTGGATATCTGTCATGTCCCACGTGGAACATGGTGCAAACCAACCTGGTGGGAAACTTCCAGGATGCTCAGGAGAAGGTTGGGATTGTGATCCAAACCCTGAGTCCTGCTTTGGTGTTCTCCCAGTTTTCCTCATTGTTGCTCTTCCTTAGGACCAAACTTCAGGCTTGTTTGACCTCAGGGGTTCAAAGGTTGAGGATCTGAGCTTGGTTCACGTTGATCGAGATTCATCCAAGATTTCTGCTGGGATTGGGGAGCATCAACTGGCTTTTGTAGAGAAAAAAGGACCCAAGAGGAGTTTTGGCTGATGGAGAGTAGGAAATTATCACTCTCCATGTTGTCCTTCCACCACAGAAGGTGCAACAACACAGAAGGTGGACAACATGTCCTTCCTTTGCACCCAGATGTGGGAAACCACCAAATTTTGCCTTTCCATGATGCAGGAAGTTACTGAATTTATTAATTTCCTCTACTTTTCCCCAAATACCTGTGAGAGCCCAAGGGCTGCTTGGCTTGGCTTCCTGGGGCTTCTGGGCATCTGTCCGATGAGGTTCAGGGAAATCTGTAAATCCCTGGGGTCCTGGTGGGTGTTGGACTGATTGAAGAGGTGAAAAATCCCATTCCCAGGCCTTCCAGGAACTAGGAATCTGAAAAATTCCCTCCTGAGAATCTCAGGGATCGGGTAACTTGTTATTAGTGCCGAGCTCAGCATCAGGAGTTGATGCCCAGAGACACCTTGGATGGGAGAGAGAGAACAAGAACCTCCAGGGGAAATTTAAAGCACCCAGAAAAGGTTGTCCTTGCTTTCCAAGCACCTCAAAAACATGAATATTGGCCTTTTCCCTCTGGGAAAAAAATGAACAGGCACTGGAACAGGAGGTTGAGTTGAATGATTTGCCCAGTGAAGGGTCTTCTGCACCCCCAGGGCTTCAGGGCTGGGATCCCTCCATGGGATCTCCAGGAAGTTCCATGGAGATGATGAGCAGCCCATGGGCCAGATCCATGGATAAATCCATTTATGTCCCTGTAATAACACTTAGTAACTGGACACATCACTGTGCAGCTTTTCCCCTCTCCCAGCCCATGCAAGGCAGGGGGAGTTTGTAGTTCCATGATCCCTCCCAAATCCTGAATGTCTCCTCCTTTTTTAAATAATCCATCAAGCAGTGGGGATAAAAAAAATCCCATGTGAGGAGTGGGAAGTGGTTTTGTTCATTTGCCTTATTCAAACACGCCAACTCCATCATTTTCCTGCCTTTGCCTTTACCTTGAATTCTCTTTTCCCTTTTTCCTGTGTTTCATTCAATTCTTTTCCTGCCTTTGCCCTTCATTCTCTTTTTCCTTTTTCCTGTTTCACTCTCCACAATCCCCTCTTCTTGCCCTTCATCTCAGCCAAACTCAGGCAGAGGCCAAGCTGTCACACATTTCATGTCACCCTCCAAAAGACACTTTAATTCAGGCTCTGGCACTCAGAGGTGAATTCCTGTTGTGGCCTTGTGTTTAATTATGGAGCAGCCCCAGATCTTTCAGCAGGGGTGGCAAAGCACAGGAATTTGTTTCCTGCTGGCTGCTCCCTTCCCTTCCCTGCCTCCAGCAAGATTAGCCAAGGAGTTTTAAATGTGCAGGAGACGTGTTTGTGGTGCAAATAAGGCAGAAAACCTCGTCCCTTGTTCTTGTAGCAGCTTTTTGATGGAGCACAGGAAGTGCATCTCCAGCTTCTTCGTTCTGTGGCTTCGCAGGAGGTGTTTGCTGGTGGTATTTCAGAGAATCCTGGGATGGTTTGGGTTGAAAGGGACCTTAAAAACCACTCAGTGCCACTCCCTGCCATGGGCAGGGACACCTTCCACCAGCCCAGGTTGCTCCAACCCGGCCTTGGACATTTCCAGGGATGGGGCAGCCACAGCTTCTCTGGGAATTCCACTGCAGCCCCTCACCACCCAATTTCTTCCCAATATTCCATCCTAATCTCCATTTTTCCAGTGTAGGGCCATTCCCCCTCGTCCTGTCCCTCCATCCCTTGTCCCAAGTCCCTCTCCAACTCTTGGAGCCCTCTAGGCCCTGGAAGGGGCTCTCAGGTCTTCTCTGGGAATTCCCAGCCCCTCTCCAACCTCCCAGGGAAGAATCCCTTCCCAAAATCCCATCTCAACCCACTCCCTGGCAGTTCACAGCCATTAAAGTGACAGTCTCCCTAGAGCCTTCTCCAGGTTGGACATTCCCAGCTCTCCCAGCCTGGCTCCAGAGCAGCCCTTGGATCACCTTCCTTAGCAAATTGAAGACACAGCCACTGTAAAAAGGCAGAAATAAGAGCATAAAAAAGCTCCACAACCCTTTTTTCCCCCCTAAAAAGGGGGATTTTTTTCAATCCTAAAGAAGCAGAAAGTGATACAGGTCCAATTAAAAGGGAGGAAAAAAATCTCTGGGAGGTCCCTGTTAGGGGTTAAAATCACTCTGTGGCACAGAGTGAATTGTTTCTACCTCTGTTTCACTTTGTAATTCCATCCATCTCCAGAGCTCTGCCCTGGGAGCATCCACAGAGTAATGGATTGTCAGTGCAGGGGTAGATGTTCCCTCCTCAGAGTATAAATCCACAAGATCAACACTTTCATTCCCTAAAAAAAAAATGCAAAATTAGACTTTCAAGAGGCATTTTGCAGCTTGGCATCTTCATCTCCCACTGCCAGGGATGGTAAATGTTTCTTGGTGTAAAGGGCATCGAATCCACCAAAGTTCCTTTTTCCTTTGCAAGATTAATTTGGGGTTTGTTTGCTTTTTAATATCCCTGTGGCTCCAGGGCCTGCTGTGTTCTCAAGTGGCTGACATGTGCTTAATGGAGTAGAAAAGGGGAATAAAAGGGATTTTTCCATCTGCAGCCCATGACCCCGACAAGAGGCTGCTCTATAAATACCAATTTATGGGAGGAAAAGTCAATAAAAGAGAAATGCTTTGCTTTTTACTTCATTAGCTCTGGGAAAGCCTGAAATGATTCAGTAATTCTGGTGAGCAGGATCCAGCTTTCCAGCCCCCAGACCCGGAAATATTTGCATGGAAAAGGGTTTCCTGGCGGGAAGTTTTGCGTGCAAAGCCCCTCCTTGGGCTGCTGGCTCGTTGTCTCCATGGTCAGAGCTGGGTCTGTGGGGCCCGTGGTGCAGAGGGATGTGCTTTGCCCTGCCAGGGCTCCTGAACATCCTTGGGTTGCTCTTTTCCATCCTTATTTTTTGCCCTTGTGAAGCAAAATCCAAAGGGATCCTGGCTTTGGTTGGTGAGGGAAATGCCCATGGAGGAGCTGAGCTGCTTCTGAGTGCTCTGAAAGGGCCCAAAATGCAGCTTTCCACCCCAAAACAAGCCACTGATCACACACAGATGAACACACACACCCCTCAGGGAAAACATCTCTGGGTTCCAGCCCCTTGTCTGTTGTTTCATGATGTGAAAAGGAGTGTTTGAGCCTTTTCCTTCTTTGCTTCCAAAACTTCCCGGTCCCTATATCCGGACATGGAAGAGATGAGCTTTCAGTCATTCCCAGGGAAGAGGATGTTGGGTCACACTGAGC